TTGACAACATTGTTTTAAAATGTAGCCTTTTTCTTTGCCAATACAGTGTAACATCCACTTAGGCACCATATACTTAATCTACAGGTGATTTAAAGTACACAGAAGGATGTGTGTAGAATCTATGCTAATACCGTGCCATTTTATATGAGGGCCCTGAGCATCCTCCGATGCTTGTATTCACAGGAGTCCTGGAACCTCCTTCGTGCGCCCTACCACATGCCAAGGGACAACTGCACTGAAGCACAGCACATCTTACTTGCACTTGTAATAACTGCTGATCTCTGCTCCCCAGCTGCTGCAACCGTGCCAGTGGGCTGAGCCCTCCTCAGTCCTCCCTGGAGCCTGATGATGGGGATGCACTGTGATCACAATTGCCTTCACAGACAAGGAGACAAGCCGGGCTTCTGTGCAGGCCACAGGCCGGAGCCCAGGCAGGTCTCTCGTGTCCCTGCTCTGCACTGCTTTGCTGACCAACTCGTCAGAAACGCAGAGCCCAAGGGGACATTGGGCCTTATCTATAAGGAGAAAAATTAATCCTGTCCCTTGAGCAGTCTCTCAAACTCAACACTGGGGACAAGTCACTCTTTGTCATTTGGACAGCCCAAGGGGGCTGTAGTGGGCCTTGTGGGATGTTCAGCAACATCCCCAGCTTCTACTGTGGATGCCAATAGTGTCCCCCACCCCTAAGGTGTGACAATCAGAAACATCACCAACCAGCTGAGCATTCCAAATGTCACCCAGGGCCTGAATCACCCTGGGTTCAAGAAAATTGCCCCAAAGTTCCAGAAGGAGACTAAGAGCAGCCCATTTGCAAACAGAACAAGTTTAGTGTAACAATGTAACTCATCAGGGACTAGGATAAGATCAAAACGAAATATCTGCTCCTGGAAACTTGATGCCAAAAGAAACCATTCCAGATTGTAAATACATATACTGAATAATTTTATATGGTGTCAAACACACACACAGACACACACACACACACACACACACGTGTCTCTAACACTTACCTGACAAGCAGCTCAGTACCAGGCACGGGCCTGACTCGTTCAATCCCTCCCCACCAGAGCACGACGTTATGAGGACAGCAGTTCAGTAACAAAAGCTGTCTGCTCTGAAATTTCCCATCAGAAATCAAGAAACTAAAATCGCCTCACCTGGATAGTTCTTGGGAGGACCAAGGGAAGAAAATTCCTGCAAATTGGAATTGCAGGGCATAGAAAATATCCAGGCATGCTTATAACTGTCGCCATTATGAACACTGCCATTGCATATATTTCCCACCGGAAAGGTGGGATCAGAGGGGCTGAGCACCCTGCGCAAAGCCCAGGACATGCGGACTTTGCAGAGGCCTGTCTAACTCAGGGTTTGGGGGCTGCCCAGGGAAGCAGGGGGATTGCAGCATCCTGGCCACCTCGTCTCTCCCTCTGGGGCTGCGCCCGTCACTTTTGAGACCCAGGAAGGGGCAGGGCTCTAGAAAACCCAGTGCCCTGTGCACCCCCACTCAGAGAAGGGAAGCCAGAGGCCCAGGACCTTTCTGTTGATTCGTAAGCTGTGAAAAACAGTGGCCAGCAAAGCAACAGTTAGAAGGGGAGCTCCTGAACTCAGCGTGGCAGGAGCCAGCACCTGAGGTCCCAACACCCCTCATGCAGCGGATTCGAATGCACAGCCCAGTATGAGGGGCAGCCCCGGACCACAGGCAGGAGATGGAGACACAGGCGGAGAGCCCCCTCTGCACACCCCGATCGCCTTGGCCACACTCCCAAAGTGCTGGGGCCTCAGATGAGAGTCTGACTTCAACAACATCACCCCCTGCTCAAAGGGTGGCCCAATGTCCAATAACCAAAAAAAAGAACCATCCATACCCTTGGTTTATTAAAACAAAAAAGGCGTTTTAACATCACACTCAAACTTTTTTTTTCAAAATGAAAGCTAGCTCCTTCGGTTGAATAAGTCTATCTTGAAAAACTCCCAATCTTATTTATGTTTCCCATTTCGGGGGCACTGATGAAAACTTCATCACAGACAGAAATCACTGTCTGACCTGCCTCGTGCCTCAGTTTCCCCATCTTTCCATGAGCATAAGAAGAGCCCCTGCCTCAGGGTCCGAAAGTGGCTTCTCCAGCACCAACCACTCTGGTGTGCCTGGAACTCGGCGGTTTTAACATCACGTGAAGGTCCCGGACCCCAGAGCACCCCCTCCTTGGAGCAACCTGGAAGATGGTCCCCATCCCAGGAGGCGGCTGGTCACCAGGACGGCTGGACATTTGGTGCAAATACAAATCCCAGAGAGGCTTGTGGGAATCAGATAAGAATGCCAGATTGCTCAGTGGGTTCTCCCCACCAAACAACTTTGGAGGAAACGGACCGCAAACAGCAGCGGTGCTGCACGGTAATCCTATTGCTGGCCAGCACTTTTGTGGAGCTTACGTGTGCCAGGCCCTATTCGGGCCCTGCGTACATGAACTCCTCTCATAGGTGGACTCACCACTGGCTAGTGGCGACCTCTCCACATCTTCAGGTAAGGGCATCTCACTGTTCGGTTAGGTACAGCACTGCCTGGGCGCTGAAAGGCTCCCTGTCCTCTGGCCAGCTGTTAGCACAAGGTTTCTGTTTGCCAACCATCCGCTGCTCCCCTTAATCTTCCCCGTGTTGTACTTACATTCGCCGATAGGTGGCAGTAGCCTTTCGCTTTTGTACCATATAAACCTGCTCTTTAAAACAACTTGTTGAAATGTATCCACATTGAGGCGATACCCAAGTGAAATAAATAGGACACACATGTGTGAACACCGAATAGTTTCTCTAGTGTGAGAAACTGGAAGTGTAAATAAGGACTAAAAGGTATACTAGATAATGTGAAATAGGAAGAAAAGGAGCAAAGGGGAAGGGGAAGTGGGAGGGGTAGGGGAAAGGAAAGAAGGGAATGGAATTAATACGAGAAAAAGAAAAAATGGAAACAAAATCTTTGTAAATGGGGAGGGATGGAGGGGTTGAAGGGAGGGCAGGGGAAGGGGGAAAAAAATAAGAACCAAGATGGATTCTGTAAAGGTGCAAACTTCCAATGATGAATGTCCTTATATTGTACACCTAAAATGTGCCAACAAAATTAATTTTAAAATAAAACAATTTGATGGACCAGCAGAGACAGTGTCACGAATACTTTATAACTGGCAGTGTTATATGATTCTAGGTCATTGCTACAAAGAATATGGGACTGCATTTTCCTTCTTTCAATCCTTTTGGCCCTGAGTTTGTTGAGAGGCTACTTAAAATGTGCAGTGATCAGGATCCTGTAGCCCCAAACTGGTGGGATAGAAAAGTTTATCTCCTTCATCACGGGGAGCACATCTCCCAGTTCCAAGATATTCATAACCTCGTGCATTTATCGAAAGCATCTCTCAAATAGAATTCAATTAAAATTGAGTAATGACCACTGATAGTTGTTTAACCTGTTAGCTAAATTTAGATGGAAACATCATGCATGTATATGTGTAAATACATTGTTTCATGTGCACACACACGTTTATGTGTGACCTTGGCCAAGACATCTGACCTGTGTGACTCAGTTTCTTGTTTTGAGAATTTGGAATAACACCACTGCCTTGCTGATTTATTACAAGAAGTAAATTAATTGTACCACAAGTGAAGCTCTTATAACATTGTCTCAACACACAGTAAGCACTTAGCAAATGTTACTATTATTATTTTACAACCATACTTCTTAAAATTGTTGTCATTATTTTTATGCATAGAAGGTTCAAATCCTAGTTGGTCTTTTTTTTTTTTTTGATACTGGGGATCGAACTCAGGACCTTGCACTTGCAAGGTAGGTGGTAGAACCACTGAGCTAAATCCCCGGGCCCCTAGTTAGTCTTACTAGCAGCAGCACTTAATCTGTCAAGTGGCTCAATCCCCTTACTTGCAAAATGGGTACATATTACCCAGGGTTATCCTGGGCAGGGTCAGTCAACTTCCTGTAATGACTCAGAGAGAAAATATCGCAAGTTTGCCAGCCACGCATTCTGCAAATACATTGTCACAGAGGCTGGACTCTGCCTTGATAGCAAGAAAGCATCCCACAGATAATACATAAGTAAATGGCCATTGGAGGCAGGTACGGTGGCACATGCCTGTGATCCCAGCTACTCCAGAGGCTGAGGCAGGAAGATTGCAAGTTCAAGGCCAGCCTGGGTAGCTTTACAAGATACTGTCTCAAAATTTAAAAAATAGTAATATGTAAATTTTAAATGTTGGATATATAGCTCAGGGCTCCCTGGGTTCAATCCTACAATCCTATCCTACAATCTATCCACATGATAGATAGATAATAGATTAGATAGATAGATAGATAGATAGATAGATAGATAGATAGATAGAAGGGAGGCATGGCTGTTTTCCAATACAACTTTATGAATGTTGAAATTTGACTTTCATATAACTTTCATGTATCACACTTTAAGATTTTTTCTTCTGATTTCTTTGGACCATTTATAAACGTAAAGCCCATCCTTAGCTCACTAGTGATCCTGGAACCAGGAGCGAGCTGAATTTGGCCATTGCTACTGACCTTGGTCTTGAAGACTCAATAGTATATTCGTAATGCCCCAGGGAAAAGATGGAAAGCAATAACCTACTGTAATTATGCATATCATGGATTTTATCCTGCAAAATAACAAGAATCCCATTGGTTTTAGCAATGCTCAGCTTTATTATAGGGTATGGTTAGAAAATACGTAAAATTCCCAGAAATGGTTATGTACCTAATTCCCCTAGAGAGCAGGTGATGGGATCCACGGCCCTTTCTTGGCCTAATTTCCAGTTATTCAGTGCCTACTACAGGGGAATAAAAATTCGTACCAAGGGCAGGAAGCTCGCAGACACATTGTTCAGCCCTGGTTTTTGTTCTAAAGCCCGCGGAAGCAGAGTGCGGGCGGGTCGAGGGGCGGAGGCCTTTATCGGCATGGACTGGGCATGTGCAGAGGAGCTTTGGGCTCCAAGATGGCGGCCTGTGGAGTGGGCTGGGGGCCCAGCTTCAGGGAACAGACCGAGCAGGCCCAGTCCTCAGTGGGCCACGTTGCCGATGTGCGTCCCTGGGTGACCTCTGAGGGCTCAGCTCTGATGCTGAAGCACCCCAGGGAGAGGCACACAGCGCTGTGTCTCCAAATGGCAACCCGCGGAGGTCAGTGAACCCCGGAGCTCGGCTGTGAAGGGCAGAGAGAGGATTCGCGCCCAGCAGTCTGGCTCTAGATGCTGTCGTTGTAACCACTGCACCTTGAACTCTTGGCAGCAGCCTATTTATGGATTTATTTTCCACTTGTTCATTGTCTCTCCACCTGCTCACTTTCAGCTCTGTGAAGTCAGTGGACCTATTCTGCTTAATTCATAGCAGATAACCTTTGTGCCTGGCGCAGCCTTAGCTGCAGTTATGATAGATGTGTATTTGTTGAAGCAATGATTGAATACAAATGTATCCAAATAAATATATAATTACAAGTAGTGCTCAGTGCTATGAATAAATGCCAGTACTATGAGGAGTTTGAGGAGCAATTAATGCAGTTTGAGGATCAGAGGAAGCTAAAAAGTATAAGTATTATTTCAATTACTTCCATGCTTAGGTCCTTGATGTGATAGCTCTGAATCCAGCTAAAAGGGAAGAAAATGTTATTATCCTTCATATACCTCTCATGAGAATCAACGTTCCCACCCCAGCACTGAAATGCAATTGAAATTCAAGTCTGCATTGGACTTTAATTCTGTTGCATATAAGAATTCAAACTCTCTTCTCCTTCCCCAAAACACCTGTCACCTGGGCCTGTGACAGTAACATCCATGAGAAACTTGCCAGGTCTCTGCACCTGAGCGTCATGTGTGGGTGTAAGACTTCAGCTTAGTTTTGATTTTGATTTCTTTCTGTCTCCCTCACTCTTTTTTCTTGGTTGCAGGAACAATGGGTAACCAGATGAGTGTTCCACAAAGAGTCCAAGATGAAGAGCATGACTGGGAAGCAGGCACTTACAAGGTAGCACAGTGGCCGACCCCGGGACATTGCTACTCGCAGGGGGACCAAAACAAGTGGCCACCCTGTCACTGGGTTGGGCTTGAGGGCTGGGGGCTGTTCTCAGTGTTGTTCCACGGTGGTTGGATCTCTGGTGTCCACCACAGCATGAGTTAAAAATGCAGGTTCTGAGGTGCCACGTAAGAGCCAAGCAGGAATTGCAGAGCTGGGATTCCTAGGGAGCCTGTGTCTCTAAGAACCTCCACGGGCAGTGCCTAGGAAGATGGTCTGCTTGGCTGTGGCTGGAGATATTTTTGATAGTCACAACTCAGGGAGGTGGTTGTGCCATCTAGGACAAAGAGGCCAGGGCTGCTGTGGCACCACTGCAATGCACAGGACTGTGCCCAAGAATGAGCTAGCCCCGAATGTCCATTGCTGAGGATGAGAAGCGCAGGGTTAACTCGGTAGCTCAAGATCTCAGCTGCACATTAGAAACCCCTAGGAAACTTTCAAAGCTTCAAATGCCTGAGTCGCCCTCTAGACCGACCAAACCGAGACTGTGTCGGACAGAGGCAGGCTGAGTTCCCAAAGCGTCTCTGCGAGGGCAGGCAGTCAAGGTCAAGAACAGTACTTAGGGAGCCCCTTAGCAGTCTGCTCAGAGAACTGAGGCCCCAAAACCCAAACATTTCTTTTTGGATCTTCTACATCTAGAAAGCAGAAAGCCTGAATTTCTACCATCAGGGCTTTCTATATCAATTCAGCTTACAACTTGGAGCATTGCTAACTACGGAAATCCCTGTAGGAAAGGTAGCTATGAAGTGGTATTGATCATACAAGCAGAGGGAATTTCTGTGCAGAAGAGAAGGCTGCATCTGAAGGAATGGCTTAGAAATGGAAATGCTGGCAGTATGGGCCTCAAGCTGCATGTTCACGTTACCTGGGATGCTCTGGAAACCCGGATGCTGGGCCCCAGCTGAGACCAATTGCAGTTGCAATCTCTGGCTGTGGGGTGGGCACGAGTCCTCTCAAGCCCCCTGAATGATTGCAAGCCCAGATAAGTCAGTTATATTGGGCTTCTGGGAGCCAGGCAACAAGAAAATGAGTGGCCCAGGGAGAGGCGACTGTGGACCAAGGCCCTTCCGAAGCTGCTGGCGGCAACCAACATACACCACCAAGATGGCTCGCAACCCCGGATTCCTGCGTTGCTCTAGGAGCTGGAAAACAGCGCTAACCCAATCTCCTGGTTGTTAAACATTGACAGGTGACCCTAAAACCCTTCAGGCAGTCTGTGGACCCCATACCTCAGATTACACAGGCGCTGACCTGAGAATACCAGTCATCATGGTTGGGCCACGATAGGATGTTTACATTTTCCTATTTCTTGGGAGGGTTAATCATAAATCCAAGAACATGAAGTTATTTTAAACAATTACAACCATTACAGAAGTGTAAGCAAAGGGAAATTCTACTGTATCCACCCGGGAGGTTATTACGTTTAGGACATGGAATTCAGTTTTTTAGTTTTTCCTCCCTTCATATTTATTAACATATATTCTTACTGCTAAAAGTGATAGCAAAGTAGAGCATTATATGCAAAATACTTAATGTATAATTAATATTCAACTAATGCTCTTTGGGTTTTTTTGCAATACCAGAGATTGAGCCTGGGTATAGTCTACACTGAGCCACATCTCCAGCCCTTTTACTTATTTGTTACTCTTTACTTTGAGACAGGATCTTGTTACTCTGGGCTTGAACATGTGATCCTCCTGCCTCAGCCTCACAAAGTGGGTGCATTAAAGCATGCACCACCATGCCCAGTGTAATATATTCTTTTGCAAATATTTTTATTTCCATATAAGCACCTATGTATGTGTATATGTGTCTTACATGGTCTTTTTAAATATCTATAATAAATAGCAGAAAAGGGAAAAATCAAGGTGGGGCCCTAAAATTAGAAAGAAATTGCAACAATGCAGATGGAGGGAGGAAGTACGGAACAGAAACACACACACACACACACACACACACACACACACAGTCTGAACTTCCTGTATTTGACAAGTTTGCTGAATAAGCTCCTGGCTAAGGGCTGTGTCTGTATAAGACAGCTGCGTACACTGCACATGTCCTAAGTCTGCGCTCATACATGGAAAGAGCAAGGTTTGGGAATTGGCCTGTTAGGTTCTTGCTCCACCTCCGTTACACAAATAGCGATTTTGTCCTCGGGGTCCCATCTCTACTGTGGGGTGTACTGAAATGAGGCGTGTGTGCTCTTCTGCCACTGGGCTTCGGCCCTGCTGGGGGTTCACTCCTTACTCTGGGGTACCATGCAGCGCTTAGCAGTTGCCAGACACACAGCCTTTAAATGAAGTTTGTTGTGAGGTTCCCCGGCAGCTTCTCCCTTGGGTTCTTCCATTTCCTCTGAAAACCTGACCAACACCTGTTGTATTGCAGATAGCGTCAGACAGCCAGTGTGGCCAGAACGGGACACCAGTGATCATATCAGCACACACCATCCAGCACTACGATGAAGGTCAGTGCAGCGCTGGGTGACAGCACCCTGGGGTGCGAGCCCTTTGATTCCATTTATGCCAAACAAAACGGAGCGAGAAGCCACGGGCTCCCTTTGGGCACTTGCTTGCCTGTGTCTCCTGGGGCCACCGTAACCAGAGCGTCAGGAATTGCAGCACCTTTAGAACCTAAAAGTGTCTCACAGTGCTGAAGGCCGGAGGTGCAGAGCCCAGCAGTGGGCAGGGTTGGACCTGTCCCCTGGCCGCTCTCCTGGCTGTGCGTCTTCGCTCTGTGTGTGCTGTCTCAGGGCCCAGATCCCCCTTCTGACAAGGAGACAGTCATCTTGGGTTAGGGCTGGGCTTCTTGACCTCATCCGAACTTGATTATCTGCAGCGTGTCCAGCTGCATGCAAGGAATACAAACGCCGAGTACTGCAAACACGTGTTCATTAAGTAAATCAATCAAGGGCTGGGGATTTAGCTCAGTGGTGCTGCCCGCCGCCTGCCTGGCAAGCACAAGGTCTCGAGTTCAATCCTGGTACTAAAACAATAAATAAATAAATCATTTTTAAAACATCCTATTTCCCAAGAACTCACACTTGCAGGAATTAGGACTTCAACAGCTTAGCAGGATACAATACAACCCGTCCTTGCAAGGCGTGGTGGTGCACGCCTGGAGTCCCAGCACTCAGGAGGCTGAGGTGAAGGATGACCACGGATTCAAGGACGGGCCTGGGCTACATAGTGAGACCCTGCCCCAAATGATAATATTATTAATAATAATAATAATAATATACAGTCATCCCTGTATTGGTCGCTTCTGAGTATGTATGACAGCTGTGAGAGACCAAGGATTTGCAACAGATATGATAAAAGCAATAGAGTGAAAACACTAATAAGATAGCTTTGGAGTCAGACAGACCTGGGTTAGAGTCCCTGCTTCACAGCTTCTTGGCTGTATGACCCGTGGTGACAGGTGTCACTCATGTTACATGACCCTGTTGCATTTCAGGGACACACCATCCTGGGGTGCAGCTCATTGCCCCTGCAGCTGAGTGCAAGGCACCCCGTGCATTCTGTCTCTGTGCAGACTTTGGCGAATTGCGAAGGAGAAACAGAATCTCTGATGGTCCAGAGATTTGGAGGCACAGAAAATGCAACCTGGCCACCCACCTGCAGGCCAGACCCAGTCAGCTACCCTGGGGAGAGCAGGTGGCACCTTTGACTAAGACATTCGTCAGGCCGGTGCCACTGCTGCTGCAGACATTTGCCAGCCACCTTCCAGCCAAGAGGCAGGACAAGGCCCAGAATGGCTTATCTTCTTCACCTAGGAGCTGCCAGGAGGAGAAAGCCCAAGTCCCCCATTCAGGGGAGCAGACACCCTAAAGGCTTCTCACTGCCTCAGGACAGTTGTTTTCTGGTTTGTTTTTTGCAAAAATCCTGCACCTTCTCCCTCAGGAGATAGACCGCAAAGGATTCGCATAAAGCTACGCTCTGTCAAAGCACAGATAACACTGCTGCTGTTGAATTAGCATTCTGTTCTTCAGCAACACAAGTGTGGTTTAAGAAGGTGCAGGTACAAGGGGAGAGAGCCGGAGCTACTGCCCCACTGGGGCAGCTCTGTATTGTGCTGCAGGGGCCGCGGAGCCTCCCAGGGCCCACAAGGCAGTGCAGTCAGAGCTCGGAGGATCCTGCCTGTGGGTGTCTGCACGTGGCCTGTGTCTGCACTCCACTCGTGAAAAAGATGTTTTTCTTGTCTCTCTCCAGAGCCAATTTTTGCTTCCTTGTCTCAAAAGCATCCCCAAGAGTTCAAGTACTGGAGCATGCATTTATTTATGAACCTGTAGGGCATAAGAGTGTAGCACCCAGAGCAATATCTTTCCTCCCTCCTGTGCCGATGAACTAATCCCCAGGATGCACCCCAGGCAAGAGTAGATGGGATTAAGGGGCCTGAGATGTGGAGACGATCCTGGATTGTCCATGTGGCCACAGCATCTTTAGAAGCACTGCGACAGGAGGGACGGAGTAGGAAAAGAAGATATGAAAGGAGCAGGTGTCACCGAGGGAGAGACTGGAAGATGCTCCGCTCCAGCCTTGAAGGTGGAGGAGGGGGCCGCAAGCCAAGGGTCACAGGCAGCTGCAGGTTGCTGGAAAAGGCAAGGAAGCTGGTTCTCCCGGAGCTTCTAGAAGGTGGCCCGTTTTGACACAGGACCTTCGGAACTGTAAGATAATATATTGGTGTTGTGGGCGGGCACATGGTTACAGCAGTTGTTACACTTGTTACAACGGTGACCGGGTCTGGGGTCTAAGGCACCCCGGCCTGTGTCCTGGCTTTGCTGCCCTCTAGCTGTGTAAACCTGGCGAGGGATTTGTGTTTCCTGGCATTCATGGTGAAAGGAGGATTTCTTTGCCCTCAGGAGGGAGCGCTAGGGAAGCAGCTAGGGAAACTGCTGACAGGAAGGAGACCAACGGACCGGGATGCTGAGGGGGACGTTCTTTGTCGCAGTCCTGGCTGGGCCTGGTGGGGCCTGACCGGACTTTACCGCAGTGCATTTATGCCTAAAACACCACAGATCCCTGGGGAAATGACAACGCCTCATTCTTCTCCTTCTTTGCTTCTTTTCTAGCAAATTTATCATGTGAGTCCCCTCTTTTAAAAAAAACTGCTTGATCCTCACTGCTTAATGGATGGCAGAGACCAACGCCTGATTTATCCCCCAGAAGTCATCATTTTTCAAAAACAGAAGAATGTCTCTGTTGCACCTGATAAGAAGTTTCTAAAATTAACCTCTTCCTTTTTGTTCCTCAAAAGAAACATTGCCTAATTTTACCTTCTTAAATATATATATATATATATGTTTTATTAAATTGAAAAGTGCTCCTTGAGCAACGTGCTTCTGCTGACACTGTAATGAATGAGAGTAGACGCATTTGCTGTTGACCCCTGGGTGAAGTGTCATGGGAGACCAGTGCCAGAAATCACAGCTTCCATCTGAGTGTGGCGTTGCACACCTGTGATCCCAGCTCTGTGGGAGGCTGAAGCAGGAGGGTCATGAGTTCAAGTCCAGCCTGGACAACTTGGCGAGATCCTGTCTCAAAAGGAAGTAAAAGTAATAATAAAGGTCTGGGGATGTGGCTCATGTGAAGGCCCTGAGCTGAATCTCCAGTGTGGGAGTGGGCGGTGAGGGGCGGATACGGGGAAGCAGGCCGTGGCCTGGACAGGATTAAAATCCGTGCTCCTTTGGCACCCAGTTATCCCTCCGGTGGTTGCTCTTCTGTTGTTTTTCAGACAGGGTCTCCCTAAGTGGCCCAGGCTGGCCTCAAACTCATGACCCTCCCGCCTCGGTCTCCTGAGTAGCAGGATTACAGTCACAGGCACAGTGTCCCGCCCTGGTGGGGGTTTGATGCTGTTTCCACAGCTCCAGAACAGGCCCAAGTCCTGGATCGGAAAGTGGTCACCATCCTGGTTGTGGGACCCAGGGCCAGGCACAGGCGCACAGCGCAATGACGCGCTCAGCCCCGGAGGACCCTGAGCCGCCTGAGCATGAGGACCCTGAGGCCGGCTTGGGGCCCTGGAGCCCGGAGGCTGCAGGGGTGAGGAGCACCCCTGTGTCCGTGCATCTCGCGCCAGGCGGGCTGCGGGCCAAGAGAGCACAGCCTTCCAGTGCGGCCCGACCTCGGGGCTTTCATCTTAAATTTCGCCGTCAAAACAAATCCTCATGTGGTGCTTGCTGCCCAAGCTCAATGCTACTGCGCCAGCCCAGCAACCCCAGTGCACCACTTCTGACCTCGTACCCTTCCCCTACTGCACACCCTCAGCGAGGCTAGCTTTTTATAAACCTCACCAACCTCGCCAGCATCAGGCCGTCCTAGCCGGAAGCAGTTGAGCCCTGCAGTGCCACACTGGGCTGCAGGCTGCTCAGGGCACCCCGTGGGGTTGATTCACCAGTCTTCCTACAAGTGACCTCTGAGGAGTGGGGTCTCTTCAGGTGACTTAGAAAGTTCAGCAGGCAGGGTAGTGCACACCTGTAATCCCAGCACTCAAGAGGCTGAGGCAGGAAGATTGCCACAACTTCCAGGCCAGCTTGGACTACATAGTGAATTCAAGGCCAGCCTGAAATACATAGCGAGAGTCTGACACCATCAATCAACAAGAAAAAATAAATTAAAAGTTCAAATTTCTGAACTTGCCAAGCATAGCGTCAGACTCTGGAATATGGAGCTGGCCCCCAGGACACCTTCAGTCGGAGCTGCGTGTTCCTTTGTCACAACTGCAGATGCTGGGGGCATGGCCTGGCCAAACTGGAAGTGCATCTTAGGTTCCTTCCCTTTGCTGTTTAAAATTTCTTTGTTTTTATTTTTCATTAGTACCCGTTTGCAGTACATAATGGTTACATTCCTTGTGGGGAGTTGGCACGTGTGCATAGCACACCTCAACCCTTTTCTCATCCCCTTCTTTCCCCACCCCCTCCCTCCATCATGTGATCTCCTTCCCTTTTGAGAAATATCTATCTCTCTACTTCCTATTGTCTATCTTTTATGTCAGCCTCTATATTTTGGGTGTCTCATCTAAGACAAACCACGTGATGTTTAAACTTGTGTGTCTGATTTATTTCACTCAACATTATGATCTCAAGATGCATCCATTTTCCGACAAATGATTCATTTATCTTTCTTTATGGCAGAGTAGTGCTCCATTGTTTGTAAAGACCACATTTTTTTGGACATCCCTCTGGTGATGGACACAGAGCCTACTTCCAAGATTTAGCTATTGTGGCTGGTGCTGCTATAAACACGGGTGTGTATAGGTCACAGCAAAATGATGTCTTTAACTTTGCTTTGAATCCCACCTCTCTTGTCTAGAACTTTCCTTTCTTTTACTTTTCCTTTCATTATTTTGTAATTTTAATGGCATGAGTTGGGGATTTGGGGCGTAGCACGCAGACCGAGCAGACATTCTGAATAATACACAATAAGAAAGGGGAGGCCCAGGGATTTAGCTCAGTGGTGCCATGCCTGCCTT